CCAACCTTCAGAAATGGGGCTACAAAGTGGAATCCACGATATGCGAGTGTGGAGAAGAGCAAGCCACTGACCACCTGGTGCAATGCACCCTGAGCCCTGCCACATGCACAATGGAGGACCTTCTTGCAGCAACACCAGAAGCACCCCAAGTGGCCAGATACTGGTCAAAGGACATTTAATCAACTACCAAACTTGCAAATTTTGTGTTTTGTCTGTCTGTTTGTTTGTTTTGTTCTGTTAGAAATGTAATACAATTGACTGGTTACCCTGACATGACAAATAAATAGTGTGGGATGGTTGGACAGAAACCTTACACCTGGGCAGATATTTTAGGGCAATTTTCCTCTGTGACACAAAGCCAGATTTTAACATTTGCTGTAAGTGGATGATTGTGACTCTTGAGCCATCGCCAAAAGCATTACATTACATAAAGAGTTTTTGTCTTCATTAGGAATTAATCTGTTCTAACCAACTGTCAGCTGGTAATGACCGTTTATTAACATGAGGCCCAAGCTGAACATATCAATTTGGCATATTTAATTTATATATCAAACAAAGCGTGAAATACAGGAACACAAACCCACAGATTTTCAAACACATTCATTTAGACACCATTTTGTAAGTGTGAGTTTTACAATTATGCGGAGACACAGGCTCCCACACAGACCTTCATGTTCTTTCCTTATCTCTATGTCTCAATGTTTATCTGCCCCAGTCTGGTGCCTACATCCTCAACTGACATAGACAAATGGTTTTGGACATTTGGCTCAGAATATTCTCAGAAAGTAATGCCAATATTGCCTTTTTGCTGCTGTCAACCCTGCCCCCCTTTTTGTCACTTGTAAAATGTGTATGCGTGTTTATATGCATTTATTAGCATTCAGTACTGTTCAGCTATCTGAGATTGCCAGACAATTGATGCCATAAGTCTTGATCAATAGAGCCAATATTGGGATTGTAGTTCAACACATCTAGAAGATTTTGCATAGATTAAGCTATAATAAAAAAGTATCTCTACTCAAAAAGTATTTTTTTTCCTTTCCACCTATTTAATCTGGATACCATGATGGAGGCATCTTCCCCAGTTTATCTAATCCAATCTAGTCTTGCCCTGTGGCATCAACAAAAAAACAAAACAAAGGCACATCAATACTTTCCTTTTAGGAAGTGTCAGACTGCCTTTCTAGTTAGTATGGAAACAAAACATGGCTTTGAGCACATCTACTTGGAGTAAACATTACAGACGTATGGCATCTTGCCTTTCTCACTTTTAACACATTTCCAGTGCTGATTGTTGTTTTTCAGCACCTCCACTTTGTATAGAACCTCCTGTTTGTGTAGTATTGCATAATAGCTGGATTAACAACAGTGGTTCCCAACCTTTTTTTTAAAATCAGGGACCACTTGACCAGGGACCACTCTCCAACATTAGTACCAAAAGGGTTACAATTCAGTTTTGTTCAACTTCATATTCAGTTTGGTTATTTGGGGGTGCTGATTCAGAAAATTGCATTGGATAGACCACATCAGCTCTAGTTTCAGATACAGAACATATGCCAACCAGTAGTTGTTATCTGTTCACACACAGAAAACCATATTTAATAATCTAGAGCTGATGTGGAAGTAGTAATCTTTCGTGGGTAGTCATCCTCTCCCCTCCTGACATCCCTGTTGCCTTGGCACGATAAGAGGGTTTCGCGAGACCAGTCGCTCTCGTTGCCGCATGGTTTCGAAGCAACAGTATAGTAATGGTGAGGCTACGGACCATGTTTTCATTCTTGCAGACCACTGGTTAGGAACCATTGGTTTACAAATAACAATGTAAACTAGAATTTGGTTTATTGAATGTTGGCTTGTTGGGTCTAATCCTGCCCTTGCAAACAAACTATGACCTGCCCCTGACTTTTTTCTCCAATTGCTTAACTGAAAAAGATGCTGAAAGTATGGAGATAAACAAGTGAGAAAAAGGAAAACAAACTTTGATTTGGTCATTGGTGGTACAACTCAAGGTCTAACTATGTTTACTGGGATATTTCATTGATATTTATTAATTTCTCCAGCAGCAAATTAGCCTCATCCCTGGCTGCTTAAGCTTTTCCAAATGCAGTTGTGCCACCATAATGTTAAGGCAAGGAACAGAATAGATACACTCAATGAAAGTGGTCAGTAGTGCATGTTCTTATGGTTGGATTTGACTGAATCTTTGTGACTGACAGTATGTAAAAAATCATCCATTCTCCATATCAGGTGTAAGGGGAAGAAACTAATAAATCTCCTCCTGTCATAGACGTAAGTATGACATTTTACAGTTTGGAGAAAAAATTGAATCATATCATCAAAAGTCATTTTGAGCCTCATCCATTATTTTACCGACCTTTGCCTACCCTGACTTGTGGGTGATGTGTTTGTGTGTATGTTTTAATTGCATTAATTTTATGTTTTAATTGTAATTACAAAGTGTCTTATGTATATGGATGAAGTCTATTCCAAACAGCATACCTTTAAGCAATTTGTTTAGACCATATCTCTGTATAAAACATCAATGGCTTCTCTGTAGCTAATAATAAAGCTGTTGCTGGGAGATATTTTGATGTTTTTAGTAATTTATTATATTCACCATTCCACAAACAGTGCTACTTTGGATGAAACGATTTTGATCACAAAATATCAACCCGTCATAACATTTAATCTATGGCTAAGTGGGAGATGCGTGGATCTTAGAACGGGCAGAGATGAGATGATAAAGATGACAAGTACCGTATATATTTATGAAATGTTTAAGGGAATTTATGAATACTGGATCAGATGAAATTAATTTAATAGGATGACATTATAATCCCTCCTGCTCCTGAGAATGAGGATAGGATATCATGTTTAAAGACAGGGAAAGAAGCAATTGTCTGCGGCATGAAGCTCGGTAGGCACAAATGGATATCCTACAGCCCCTTTTGTGACTATCACCAGGTAGCCCCAAAAGGAAACGAAGGGCCCTCCCACACAGCCATATAACCCAGAATATCAAGGTAGAAAATCCCACAATATCTGAGTCCACACTGCCATATAACCCAGTTCAAAGCAGATATTGTGGGGTTTTATTCAGCTGTGTGGAAGTGGCCTGAGAATGAAAATAAATTGATACTTTTCTTACCTTGTTCATCTTTACCATCCTTCTATTGAAATAGCTCAGTATATGACTAAGATTTGGATTATGATGATTGACACGAATCCTGTATGGGATTTATGGATGCATAATTCAAGCTGTATTTTGCAAATCCCATGTGAATAATTTTTCCCTGTTAGTTTGGGAACTGGGACTGTGGGAGTCGACATGTATCCTTGTTCTCAAACATCACCTAGCTCTTTGGCCTATTTCAGTGTAGTGATTTAAATATTGGACTACAGCTTTGGTGACCAGGGTTTGCATCTCCTCTCAGTCATGAAACCTCTGGGTGACTCTGAGCAAGTTAGCCCAAGAAAAGCAGTGATAGGGTCGCTATAAGCCAGAAACAACTTGAAGGCACACAACTACACCAATAGTTACAGTGCTACACAGTACATCTCTGATCCTACTAGCTGGGAAACAGCCATTGCAATCAATAGGGGCTATGAAGAGATTATGAATATGTAACAGTCATGAGTGCATATTCTAGGTTATACATTCGTAACTGTCATAGAGGTTTTTGGACATTGTTTATATCCTACTTTCCCCCCAATTTGATACTCAAGACAACAATCATAGATAAAAATTAGCAACATACAAAATTAAAGATATTAGTATGGTTGGCCTTTGATATCTTCTGGGGTTTGGTTCCAAGACATACTATGGATACCAAAATCCCTGGATGTTGAAGTCTCATCATACACAATGGGATAGTGTAGGGTGTTAGTTTAACAAATCTGGGGAATTCCAGAGCTTAAAACACTCACCAAGAAATCCCTCTCCCATGTCCTCACCAGAAGTAGCTGTGATGTTGGTGGAGGAGTATGAACCTGCCCGTGATCTCAAAACATGGGCAGGTTCATACGGGAGGATACTGCCCTTGCCAAACTGGACTTAGTAATACTTGAAAAAGAGGTGAAAATGATTTGCCTTTAGATCATGTTGGACTCCACGGTTAAGTCAACTTGGATCTGTCATGTATTAGAAGAGCTGGTAAAAGTTACTTTTTTGAATACGACTTCTACAATGCCCAGTTGCTTTGCATGTGAGAACTGGTTGATAAACAGTTGAGCAAATGAACTGCAAATACATGAAAATTGTGATCAATTTTACTTTTATTTGGATCTCCTATTGAGCCAATAATGGAATCAGAGAGTGCAAATATATTCTCAGACTAATTTGTGCCTGAGTTCAATAAAATTATTTAAATACAGTAGAGTCTCGCTCATCCAACGTTCTGTATTATCCAATGTAGTTTACCTCCTGCCTGGATCCACAACTGTTTCAATACATTGCAAAGTTTTGGTGCTAAATTCGTAAATACAGTAATTACTACATAACTTTACCATGTATTGAACTGCTTTTTCTGTCGATTTGTTGTAAAACATGATGTTTTGGTGCTTAATTTGCAAAATCATCACATAATTTGACGTTTAATAGGCCTTTCCTTAATGCCTCCTTATTATCCAACATTTTTGATTATCCAATATTCTGCCAGCCCATTTAAGTTGGATAAGCACAACCCTACTGTAACTAAAAATACCCCCTGAGCTTTACCCCTCCGACACCCACTCGCAATGCACCATTCCAGTTGCTGGATATCCTTTCAAAATAGCTTATTCTGTACATGCACACATGCAAATTATTTAATAAATGGCTAAGTTCTTCAGAACAGGATTCATTGAGTTGCATTTTATTGGGAAGTTGTGTCCATGGCACAGAGGACTGGATGGCCCTCGTGGTCTCTTCTAACTACGATTCTATGAAATGTTGTGTCTGAATGCTATGTTTTCTGCCACTAAACAAGTCATGCAATAGATTCAGCAAATATACATCGCAATTTGAAGTCAAGATGTTTATTTACACAGCAGGAGACACTGTCCTATTACAACAGCATTCTATCATAAACAACATTTAGCTCTGAAGCAAGCCCATGGACACTGCTGACTATTGTTACATTATCTCGGCCATTCCTGAATGACTCCTGCTTATGCATTACTCTAGTTTCAGCAATAAGATTTTACAATTAACATTGAGTTATTGAGCAATGGACTTCTGAGTTCATACAACAGTGTATTCACTACTTTTTATTTTTAAAAAACTGCCTGCATTGACACAGGACCTCACACCCAAGAATCTGGAAAAAGAAATCCAAACATTCTGTAGTCAAATAAATCTTGCAATATCCCAGTGAGGTAGGTTGGTTGATTACCATTTTACAGATGGCGAAACTAAGGCACAGAGAGTTTCAGTGACATCCTGAAAGCCATGGTAACACATCACCGTCCATCTTGCTCTCTTAGTTGAAAGCAGATTTATAAAATAACTTATATATAGAAATGGGCCCCCCTGGTGGCACAGTGGGTTAAAGCGCTGAGCTGCTGAACTTGCTGACCAAAAGGTTGGTGGTTCCAATCCAGGGGTGGGATGAGCTCCCGCTGTTAGCCCCAGCTTCTGCCAACCCAGCAGTTTGAAAAGATGCAATAGGTACCACTTCGACGAGAAGGTAACAGTGCTCCATGCAGTCATGCTGGCCATATGACCTTGGAGGTGTCTATGGACAACACCAACTCTTCAGCTTAGAAATGGAGATGAGCGCCACTCCCCAGAGTCGGACACGACTAGGCTTAATGTCAGGGGAAAACTTTACCTTTACTTTGATTTATAGAAATGGACTTATGTGTGTATAATTATACCTATTTACACAAGATTATATACAGTATATTCAAAAAAGGCAATATGGGGAGCGATCAGGGGCAGGCAAGTGTGGGGCAGGTAAGCAAGTGGGGGGGGGGTGGATGAGAAGGGGAGCAAGCGAGCAAGCGGTGGGCTCCCACACCAGGAGTGAGGGTGCTGTGTACCCCTTCTGATGTGTGTGCCATAGGTTCGGCACCACTAATTTAGGGTATTCTTATTTCTACACTATAGAAATACAATTATCGAAGTCCATAGCCCACACTCAGATACAACAATAAGGTGTATATTCCTCATATGACTACCCATTGACTACATTTGTCTTTCTCTGCATATGTGCATTGTGCATGTGTGCGCCTGAAGGTGACACTTCATGCACCTGACAAAGAGAAATAACATTCACCAAGATTTGTCACAGGAAGTCTGTAGGGTTTAAGGCACCATACTTAGTTCTTCTAAATTTCAGACTCATTGTCCTGTTGCTCTTCATATTCTGGTTAAATAAATAAGGAAAAAAGAGGAGCGCTGCCTCATAATTTTAGACTTTCAGAAACGTTTTACATTTTGTCTTAAATTATTATTGGAAGAAATAATACAAAAGGCCAGCCATAGCTCAGAAATGACAACATCTGATTTCCTAAGAACTTAAAATATTTAACCTTCAATTTGTTCCTGAGCATAGGAAAGTCAAGATGACTTTAAATACTGATAACCAATTATCTCCCTCCAATTCACAGAGATTTGGAGTGAGAGAAGAAAGAAAAATTGTGTTCTTGGTATAACGTTGTGCTATCTTAAAATCATGGAATGATAGAGTTGGTAGAGACTGCATGGACCATCTAGTCGAACCTCGTGCCATACGGGAAAAGCACAATCAAATCACGCCTGACAGATGGTCATCCAACTTCTAATTAAAAGCCTCCAAAGAAGGAGCTTCCACCACACTCCAAGGCAGAGAGTTCCTAATATTTGTCACTTGATATTAGTGGAAGAGTTAACAATCATAGAGTATTTCATTGTAGTTCTTGGGATAAATTGCTTCTAAAGCTAGAAGTTGGAAACATTATTCCTCTGGATTACTACTACCACCAGAATCCTTCGGGTATTGCAGCAAGCAAAAGTTTGCAAGATAGGAATAAGTAAGGAGGATCTTCTGATGTAGCACACAAAAAAGATAGGTGCCTGTGGCAACCCCAAAGACACACTGCTAATGTAGGAAAGTTTTTTTTTACAAGGCTCATCCAAAAAAACCAAATACACCACTCTAGTGGTGGGTTTCTTCTATACTGTACTTAACACTTTTTCCCCTCCTGAGATCTACATGATTCCCCTTTCACAATGTTGTGCGACAGGGACGCAATAGATTAAATAGCTCTACTTTCCCATCTTTGGTCAGAAATATTCTACTGATTTTTACTGACTGAACTCTCATTATTTTAACCATGAAGTTGCAAAAGGTGTTTTATTCAGCAGCTTGCTTTTCCTCAAAACAACAACAACAACACCCTGAGGCTGGATCTACATTGCCATATAATCCATTTCCTGAATTGGATTATATGAGTCTACGCTGACACATAATCCAATTTGACGTAGTTAATTTGAATGTGGATTATATGGCAGTGTAGGTGGGACCTAGTTTTTCAGGACTCTTCTTATCATCTTCAGAAGATTTCCTAGTCAGGTAGATCACCTTTTGTAGTTTGCTTACGATGACTGCTTCTTACAAAGCAAACTCAACGATGGATGTATGACATACCCCATACAATATATTCCAAATCTGCACATTTCTTCATAAAATATAGCACCTTCTCCTGATTTCAACATACAGTAGAGTCTTGCTTATCCAACCTTTACTCATCCAACATTCTGTATTATCCAACGTAGTCTGCCTCCCGCCCAGATCCACAACTGTTTCAATACATTGCAATGTTTTGGTGCTAAATTTGTAAATACAGTAATTACTACATAATGTTAGCATCTATAGAACTGCTTTTTAGGTCAGTTTGTTGCAAAACATGATGCTTTGGTGCTTAATTTGTAAAATCATAACATAATTTGATGTTTAATAAGTTTTCCTTAATTCCTCCATATTATCCAACATTTTCGCTTATTCAATGTTCTGCTGACCCGTTTATGTTGGATAAGCGAGACTCTTCTGTACTACTTTCTCTGCAGAGTTTACATAGTAGACTCTGCTTGACTTATAAATGTGAATCTATCAATACTGGGGGCCTATGACCAGAGCAGCATACATTGTCTGACACCAAAACTCAACCTGTTTTCAAGAATGAAAGAAAAGACTCCCATTAGATAATAACGCGATGGGAAAAGAAACAGACACTGACTGGCACAAGTGAATGGTCTTCCAATAGTTTTGTGAAGCCGCCTTGAGTCTCTTCCGAGTTTGAGAAAGGCGGGGCAGAAATGTTTATTTATTTACAGTATTTATATACCGCCTTTCTCACCCCTGGGGGGACTCAAAGTGGTTAATAAATTGTAAATAAATAAACAATAAATAAGTGGCTGTTAGAAAACTATGTCCTAAATTTGCACCAGGATAATTGTGCTCTATCTTAGATTCAAAATAATAGCAAAATGCACAGTATGATCCTTTAATATCTTCTGTGTTGAAGTCTTCTTCAGCAAAAGACAGACCAGTAAATTAGGTTAAAAAATATATAAGTTCCTGGAAATATTAATCTGGAGTATTTGTCAATGGCATGTGTGTTCTGCATGATGCGCAGGCTAACGTGACCCTTCAGCCCTTTCTTTCTTGATGAATGAGACTCATTATTCATGGCCAAATGGACTACCATCTTGTCTTGCTTGTCTTCTTCAGTCACAATCTGGCCTCTTGCATATTCTTCTAGGCTATTGGTTTCTGACTCACCATATATACCTTCCAGCAGCATGGTTTTTGTCGAAGGTATTCCACATGTACAGGAGAACTGAGGAAACAGAACAGTGAATAGACCAGAATGAGAGAGAGAAAAATCACACTTCTACTTTACTGACAACATGTGTTAAGAATTTATCTTCAAATCCTAAGACGGGAGAAGGGCCTTAGGGGTGGCACATGAAAACATATTTCTGCTGATTATAAGGGTAAATTCAGACTCAGCAGTATTATTTATAAGAGCCAGAATAGTGTAATGGTTTGCATGTTGGGCTACAACACCAGAGACTAGTGTCTGAATTCCTGGGCAGCAATGGAAACCTACTTGGTGACCTTGGGCAAGTTATATTCTTCCAGTCTCAGAGGAAAGTGAAGGCATGTCTTGCCAAGAAAACCCTAAGGTAAGGTAATTTTAGGATCTCTATAAATCATAAAAACAACAGCAATCAAGTATTATTTACATAAAATAGTGTGACTTCTGAAGACAGCAAGCACTTAAAATAAGTCTATTTGCACGAAAGGTGTTTTAACATTGTAATACCATATATATATATAATTAAGGAGGGTGCCAATGTGCCTCTCTTTCTGTCAGAATTATAGGCCTATGTCCATGAAATATAAATATATGGAGCTTGGCATGAACTTTGAGGAGGCTCCAGTGATGTGCAGCTGGGATTGTTTCGTTTTTAATATGCTTACTTTGAATGATTGTGGGGAGCTCATATTTTGAGGCTTGTCATAAGTTGTTCACTCAGTAGCCTCCATCCGCTTTCTTGGTCCTAGCTAGAGTAAACTCATTGAATCAATTGCTGAATGGGAAATCAACATACTAGATACATTCCATTGATTCAATAGACTTATTCACACTTGGGCTACCAACTAGATTCAGGCCACTAGGGTCTCACTTTGGCAGTGCCAAGAAAGCCATGTGATAAGTCTACATTAATGTCACCATAAATTTGAAATGACTTGAAGGCAAACAAGAACAGGAAAATATCTGGAGAGCTGTATGTTGGACAAGATAAATATTCGTTGGCATTATCTTATGAAATAAATGAGTGAAAATATGACATGGGGAAAAGAAAACACAAGAGAATTGGGATGGTTCTAAGTGTTCTGGATACAACAAAACTGGAAAAGAGAAAATAATTTTAACGGCAGCATTCAACTATAAGAATGGTTGGTGCGATGGGTTAAACTCTTGTGCTGGCAGGATTGCTGACTGACAGGTCAGCAGTTCGAATCTGGGGAGAGCGGGTTGAGCTCCCTCTGTCAGCTCCAGCTCGCCATGTGGGGACATGAGAGAAACCGCAAGGATGGTAAAATATCAAACATCCGGGCATCCCCTGAGCAATGTCCTTGCAGATGGCCCATTCTCCCACACCAGAAGTGACTTGCAATTTTTCAAGTCATTCCTGACACGAAAAAAAAAAACACTATAAGAAATGTTAAATTATTTTAAAACAGTGTTACAGTTTACTGAGATATTGCAAACTTTTTACGGATTTTGAAATGTATTGGAAGTAAATCAGGATATATGGTACGACCCCTGTACCCATGAAACCAGTACCCAAAGTTTTAAAAAATTGTCACAGTTAAGAGTTACATCAGCAACCTAGGCTTGTGTAAATTATTACAACTCAGAATAAAGATGTAAATGTTGACAAAAATAACAGAAACAATTATAAAGACATCAGATTCATAAATTTGACAAGTATACAATGGAGCATTATTCAATGCAGTCTTTCAATTTTAACCATAATTATGGAAAACAGATAGATGACTCACCGTGAAAACACTATGGATTTGGCTATAGTTCCATGAAATAAATACAACACTTAATCCTGAAATGGGCTGTATTCATCCTCCTGTATCAAGTCATGGACTGAGCCTGTCCATGGGGCCTCATTCAAGTTTTGCTGTTCCAAGGCCTGCATTGTTGTCTATGTGTGGATCTCAGGTGTGCTTCCTTTATTATACATAGGAAGCTCATTCCTCCCACCCCCATCTTTGTACATCACACTGGAGGGGGAAATGAGGATGCCCACACCACTCCTGCATCTGTTCTTACCACTTAATTAATTGAGTTGTTAATTAAGTTGATCCATGTACTGCCTTTCAGTAACAAGGGCATTCTCGGAGTAATATATGCCTCAAAACAGATGCAATAAAATCACAAAAGCAAAAGGAAAGCCACAGAAGTCATACAACTTCTGTGAAATGGAAGAAAGACCAGTCTGGGTGCACGTCACATTCAAGAACTTTCTGTCTTCTCCTGTGATTTTGGTTGAAGCCAGATTGTAAATGTGTATCTGACTGGTCAGTGCTATGTATTAACTTATCGGCAGTAGTTAAACACAGTGCAGCGAACACAGGGAAATGCCATGATGGATTTCCCTTTCCTTACCCTCCCTATATTGTCTCTGCCAAAGTCCCAGGTTGCAGACTTCCCCAGTTCTGATCTCAGTTTCTTTCCCTCTGTCGTTCCTACTACCATCAACTCCTGTTTTTGTGGTGTCAGGCCTCCGCTGTCAGATCGAATGCTCTAGACAAAAATTGTTCACACACACAGACATTCAAGGATCAGACTTTTCTCATTTACATTCACAAAGCACAGGTGTTGGGAGAGGAATCTTGGGCCCTGGGAACAAATTGTGACCTTCTACACCATATCCAATTCCCCACGACATCACTGCTGGGTGATTTTGAGTCTCCGTACATGTTTTTTTCTCTCTCTTCTAAATGATTGATGTGCTTAGAAACAATTAGAGGCTGTAAGACCTAATGTGAGCTGATATTTTTTCCTCTGCCCACAGCTAAAATGGGACTGAAAATATATCTGAAATTGAATTTGGCTTCTGACTGAAAAAGGTTTCTCACACTTGCTCTGATATATTCAACCTACATACAGGGAATAGCTCTTACCTTATCTCGCAATTTCCGCTGCTTCCGCTCCTGCACAGTGGTCAGGTAGTTCACAGCGGCATATTCGATGACTGAGAGGAAGACAAACACAAAACTGACCCAGAGGTAAATGTCCACAGCTTTGATGTAAGAAACCCGAGGCATGGAGGCATTGACACCCGTGATGATGGTGGACATGGTCAGCACTGTTGTGATCCCTAAAAAAGCCCAATACGAAGGTTTACTTCAAGTATTAACACAGGACAAGTACAGTTGGCCCTCCGTGTATTTGCAGTTTTACTTTGGCTGATTTCATTAATCAGTGTTTGATTAATATGTTCTACCAGAATCTTATCACATAGTTAAGCCTCTCTTCTCTAGGCATTTCTAGGTCCTCCAGCATGATTTTACAGTCAACTTCAGGAAAAAAGTTGATAACAGATTCACACTGGATGGCACAGAGCAGTGTTTCTCAATCTTCCTAATGCAGCGACCTCTTAATACAGTTCCTCATGCTGTGGTGACTCCTAACCATAAAATTATTTTTGTTGCTACTTCATAACTGTAATTTTGCTACTGTTATGAATTGTAATGTAAATATCTGATATGCAGGATGTATTTTCATTCACTAGACCAAATTTGGCACAAATACCCAATATGCCCAAATTTGAAAACAGGTAGGGTTGGGGGGGGGTGTGATTTTGTCATTTGGGAGTTGTAGTTCCTGGGATTTATAGTTTACCTACAATCAAAGAGCATTCAGAACTCCACCAATGATGGAATTGAAGCACACAGAATTCTCACGACCAACAGAAAATACTGGAGGGCTTTGGTGGGCATTGACCTTGAGTTTTGGAGTTGGAGTTCACCTACATCCAGAGAGCACCTTGGACTCAAACAATGATGGATCTGGACCAAACCTGACATGAATACTCAATATTTTTTTCCCCTTTCCTTGTGTCTGTATAAAGTCCTGTCCTTGAAACAAGTAAACTGTGCATTGTAGAGAAAATCACTCACCCAATGAAACTCTTGCAGGGACAGCTCTGCGGTCTATCCAGAAGGATACCCAAGACAACATGACCATCAGTGTGGCAGGGAAATAAGTTTGGAGCAAGAAGAAGAAGATGTGACGACGTAAAGTAAAGTTAATATATAGGCGATTGTACCAACCTGTTGAGAGAAAATGAACTTTAATACAGATAGCACTCAGAGTTATGAGCAAGCGTTAGGTGAGACTCAGGACCTCGTCAGATGAAGGTTGTCCTCTGTTTCTACACACTTAAAATGATGGAATCCTACAGATTCCATCAAACAACCACAACCTATTCCGTGGGTTGCCCGAGGGACTTGTAGTGTGTAGAAACAGGTGTATTTGAAAGACGGGATGAAATTGAATCCACTTTTCTCCCTGGGCTTAGAAATGCTTACAAACGGGTATTTTTCTCTGGGATGGGATATGGTGCATCTGCCCGTTTTAAGTCCATATTCTGACGTTTCAGTGTGGGTGTCCATGTGAGCCCCTCAATGCTTCTTTTACAGCCATTACTTTTGAGACTTCTATTATTATTCTTTTTTAAAAAATTCTGTTGCTGTAACTGTACTATTTTGAGCCTTTAACATTCTGGAATTGCACTTTTTTTAAAAAAAAAGTGAAAAAAACGTGAGCACTCCACAGGTTATTTTTTCATGTCAGAAGGGACTAAAGAAACTGCAAATCGATTTGACTGTCTGCAAGGACATTGCTCAGGGGATGCCTGGATGACTGATGTTTTACCATCCTATGGGAGGCTTCTCTCATGTCCCCACCTGAGAAGCTAGAGCTCGACAGATGGGAACTTACCCCACTCCCCGGATCCAAACCACCAACCTGTCAATCGACCAGTCCTGCTAGCACACGGGTTTAACCCATTGCGCCATTGGTGGCTCTATTCCACAGATAAGGAAATAAGATGAAACAACACCTGTCCGTGTAATGAGAAATGCAGTGCAGGGATTAACTAGAAACAGGAGGAGGAGGTCCTGTTTGATGGGGTGAATAAATTCTCCATCTTCTTTCAAGATGAATGCTATGAGACGCCAAAGGAAGAAGACAATTCCACTCCCCTGCCCCTTGTGTGATGAGGTCCTTAGTACATAACAAATTTGCCCTAACACATTTGTATTTTCAATTTACAAAGGTGAAGTGGGGTTGATCATGCCTTGCCAAAGGATACACAAGTATTTATTTAACACCAGCTGTACCGCCATAAGTTGCTGTGGCCAACCTTCCCTCCCTCTTTCTCTCCTTCTTTCTTTCCTTCTTTCTTTCCCTTTTTTTTCTTTCCTTCTCTCATTCTTTCCTTCTCTTCCCTTCCTCCCATCCTTTTCTTTCCCTTCCTCTTTCTCCCCTATCTTCCTTCTCTACCTATTCTTGGACTGCAACTCCCAGCAGTCCTCCTACCTACCTATCTCTATCTAATCTATCTATCTGGATGATTGCTGGGAGTAGCAGTCCAGGAATAGGAAATTGGAAATATACAGGGATTGGGATGCTCTCAAAGAAATCCAAGGAGAAGAAAGCTTGAATCTGGGAAGCAGTACATTTGGACCATCCTCCTCTCCTAAACAGCCTGGTCTAGGGTATACCGGGAGCTATAGTCCGGAAGAAAGTGTGAATATGCTATTGTGTGTGTGTGTGTGTGTGTGTGTATGTTTTGCCAGGGAATCATTTTTGCGCATGTGCTGTAGCATCTTTTTGCTTTTTTGGCTTTTTAAGTCCCTTCCGCTGTGTTTTTCAGTGTTTTTATGAGTGATGGTCATTCATTGGCCAGATAGGTGTGTTGTGTCCAAATTTGGTGTCAATTCGTCCAGTGGTTTTTGAGTCCCACAAACAGACATTACATTTTTATTTATATAGTCTATATTTTTTGTTTATTTTGTTCATGTAGTGTTGTCCCTCCACATTTACATTTTGACTTTTACAGATTTTATTATTTATGGATTTGATTTAAAATGTTCTCTCTAGGAATCCCTAGGTCCTGTGGTGTGATTTTATGACCATCTTCCTCTACTCATGATGGAGGACTCTGATATTTCTAGAGATATCTGTTCTCTAGGAATCTCTAATTCCTTCAGTGCAGTTCTATGAAAGTTGACCATAGAGCTGTGCTGGAAGACCTACAACATCCTAGAAAAATATTCTTGCTGGTTAAAAATAATAGTAATTTATTTATTTACAGTTTTCTGTTTTCATGGGAGACCTGTGTCCCTAACTACAGTGAAAATGGAGGGTTGACTGTAGTGGGTCTGTCCTCCTATGTGCTTAAGGAAATTAGGGCTGAAATTCTGTTAGAGAGTTACACACTAGAGCTATGGATTCATGACTGTTTCATATTTGTGATCTTTATTGTAATCCCTAGTGTAAGGAATACATAGGAACAGTGAAAGCCCTCCAATCTCCACTTACTAGGAAGCAGCCACTGTGGTCAGTGGGGGTCAATTTAGCTGTCAATTGAAGATCCCATCTGCCCTTGTGTGAGTGATCTCCACTGTGAGGGGAAATTGTGATTCAAACCCTGCTTCTACCTGTTGCGTTACAGATCACTACCAGGAAGGGCTAAGACTTAGCGGCTTCCAAACTAACAGAGGAACAGACCACCACCAATTGACACTACTGCTCCCTGGTAAGTGAAAATAAAAAATGTATTGGAACAGGATTCATTACACAGCATCCTAACTATGGTGTTTATACACACATAAATCCCCAACAAGATTCCAAACAAGGATTTTATTGAGGAGATGAATTATCCTAGACCAGGTGTGTCAAACTCATTTTCACTGAGGGCCACATCAGCCTCATGGTTGCCTGCAAAAAGCCGTTGAATCCAAGGGCAGAGATTCTGTGGATACAGAGGGCCAACTATAATAATGTAGATAGTGGTCAGTGTTCTTTAGTTTTGACCCAGTTTGGGGCCCAGAATTTTTTTTCGTGTCAGAAGCAAGTCGCTTCTGGTGTGAGAGAATTGGCCGTCTGCAAGGACGTTGCCCAGAGGATGCCTGGAATGTTTTACCATACTGTGGGAAGCTTCTCTCTCAGCTGGAGCTGACAGATGGGAGCTCACCCCATTCCCTGGATTTGAACCGCCAACCTTTTGGTTAGCAGTCTTGCCATTGCTTCCACTGGGGTCTCCAAGTCCTGGGTGATATTGAATGACAACCCCCATCACGTTTTATTGTCCCTTATGTGGACTGAGGTATTAGGAATTGCAACCCAACAACACTTGTGTCTCTGAGGTTAGGGAAAGGTTAAAGGACATTTTAAAGTCAGACATCATACCCACAAGCCTTGTATCTAAATTCAAAATCCACTATCCTGACTAAACAGAGCAAACTGCAGCCTTCCAGATGTTACTGTATCACAACTCCCATTTAAACTCCACAGTTTAAAACTTTCAGCATTTTTTCACTACATTGCAGAGTCATGAGTTTGATTTACAAATGGATTTGTCCCACTTTAACAGCATTGTCAGAGGAACCCAAATACCGCAAGACAGCTTACGTGGTATTTATCAGGGCTACAATTTGATGAAGCTCCTGGAGCGACCTTGAGCCAGTCATTATCCCTCTAACCTCACAAGGTTATATGGGGCATAAGGTGGGTGGAGAACTATGACTGTTACTAAGAGGGGTAAAAAACAAAACCTTACAAAAAAGGAATCAATAAAACGACAAATATTTTAATGATTTTTCTCTGGTCTGGTTTATCAAAATGATTAAATTAAATAAAAAGAGAGAAAGAAAACCTGATACCAGTGCTGCTATAGAAAGCGAGTCTGGAAGTTGTATGGAATTTTTGTATCAAGAACTGAGACAAGGAAATCTTCTCATCTGTTTTCAGAGACTCATTCCCATTTTTCCAGTAGAGCATCAGATCTTCATCTGTGTAAGCATCTGTGAGGAGAGTTGAAATAGGAAAAATATTACTTTATAGATCAACAACAAGGTAATGAAATAGTGAAATGAATCAGTGACCCAATCTGGAAAGATGAGAGAGTGGAGTGAAAGGAAAATCTAATTTTAATTGGCAGTCTACAATTGATACTACTCTTACATAGCTGTTGTGTGCCTTCAAGTGGTTTCTGACTTACGTCAACGCTAAAGTGACCTTATATTGGATTTCAAGCCTCTCCCTCTGAAGATGAGAGAATGTGACTTGCCCACAGTCACTCAATGGATTTCAATTCCATTTTTGTGTGTGTCAGGAGTGACTTGAGAAACTGCAAGTCGATTCTGGTGTGAGAGAATTGGCCGTCTGCAAAGACATTGCCCAGAGGATGCTCAGATGTTTTGATGTTTTACCATCCTTGTGGGAAGCTTCTCTCATGTCCCCACATGAGTCTGACTGAAACCGCTGACTTGTATGTCTGCAGTCCTGCAGCACAAGAGTTTAACCCAGAGGTCCTCAAACTAAGGCCCGGGGGCCGGATACAGCCCTCCAAGGTCATTTACCCGGTCTTCGCTCAGGGTCAACCTAAGTCTGAAATGACTGGAAAGCACACAACAACAACAACAATTTTATCTCATCAGCCAAAAGCAAGCCCACACTTCCCACTGAAATACTAATAAGCTTATATTTATTAAAAACTGTTCTTCATTTTAATTATTGTATTGTTTAAAAGTGTTTTTTGCACTACAAATAAGATGTGTGCATAAGAATTCATTCATTTTTTTTCAAATTATAATCCGGCCCTCCAAGAGTTTGAGGGACTGTAACCTGGCTCTCTGTTTAAAAAGTTTGAGGAGCCCTGGTTGAACCCATTGCGCTACTGGGGGCTCCTCCCCATTTCAATGCCTGAGCAGGATTTAAGTACTAATAGTTCATTTTTCAAACAATTATACCATACTAACTCAACTAGATTCCAAACAGTATTCTGGCCACTATACCAATATTACCTGTAGCATGTATACATCCCAAATTATTCAACATGGCATCACTGTAACAACAAACAAGATATACAAGATATCTGCTTTCCTGCAGATCCAGCCTACAGGATACAGGATGCATGCAAATCTTGGATCTGATCCTCAGAGTTTTGGGTCCACATAAAACATCTGTAAACTACATTATAAATTATATTGGTTCTGCCTATGTGTTGAAAGGAAGGAAGAAACCATTTCAGACAAAAGCCAGCAGGGGTTGATCTGGCCGCTCAGAAGCAAGCTATAGCTCTGTTGATGTGCTCTGATCCCATAAAGGAAAGCCAAATAGACCAGTGAGCAAATGGATTAAATATCATTAATTTGGCCCATAGATAGGTTGGTCTCCCCAGGGGATTTATGGATCACAAATAAACATGATAATCTCCTGGAGTCAGTGGCACGGAACATAAACAAAACCCACAGGAATGAGACATATCCTTTTCCAAGGTCTTTAGATCCTTTTTTAAATTCTACAGCTGAAGCCCTGATCAGACATCAGAAGGGAAATTGAAGCTCCTTGGCTCCGTGCTCACGGATCATACTCCCCATATATTGTAGCTATAGAATCAGGCCCGTAGCCAGGATTTCGTTTCGGGGGGGGGGGGGCGGTTTTGGGGGGGGCTGAGTCTGAGTGAAAGAGGGTCTAGCCTAGCAAACCTTTTGTATCATTACCCCAATACCCCCATTCATATGGGATATATTGAGTATGGTGATCAGATCATGATATGAATAAACATAACAGTTTAAATAATGCACCAGTAAGGCCTTTTCGCGAACCACCATGAGAATTTGGGGGGGGGGGCTGAAGCCCCTCAAACCCCCCCCCCCCCCCCCGGCTACATGCCTGTATAGAATGAGACACGCTTATATTTTTGGAAATGTCAGTCAAGGGAAAATCAGATCTGCCTTTCCCAACACCAGTGTATCTGCATTGCGATATGAAATGCAGGCAAGGAGCAAAAATAAGACAAAACCAGAAAGGGCTTACAGACCACAAGGCATACATTTTATGACCCAGAAGAAAACATCAGGCATTGGTGTATTATTCACCTAAAGCACATGAGTCAAACTCAAGGTCCATGGGATGATTCCATCCCACCATGATGGATGCTAGACTACAACTTCTGTATTCCTCCTCATTAGACATCATGATGGGAGTTGTAATACAATAGCATCTGGAAAGCTGCAGTTTGTGCTGTTTAGTCAGAAGAGTGGGGTTAACGTAACCCCACTTTCCTGATTTATTAAAAAAATGGTATGTCGCTTTCTACCAAAATTAGATAAATTAAGAAACATAAGATAGCACTATATCTGTTTTAGTCCTTGTTTTCCTGTGTTTGTAGTGATATAGACATTTATGCAGGGCTCTGTAAAGTAAACAGTTACTGATACTTTATGATATAATGGGTACTTTTACCATATACTTTTAGGATGCATCTCCCATCAGAGCTAGCTGAGCCAACAGTGAAGGATTCTGAGAGCTGCAGTCAAATAATACTGACAAAACCACACAGTGTGACACAGCAAATATATGCTGGAATTCGTATCACAAAATCACAAGTCGGACACTTCCCAAGCGTTTAGGACTGTGTGATATATTTTCGGATGATGAGCACAGATCCAATAAGGTGGCCTTTTGCAGTTGACATATTGTGATTTTGTCAATGTATCTTTTGGCACGGCACCCAGTGTGCCGATTACCACTGGGACCACCTGTACTGGTTTTTGCCAGAGCCTTTGCAGTTTGATTTTGAGATCTTGATAATGGCTGAGTTTTTCCGGTTGTTTTTCGTCAATTCAACTGTCACCTGGTATGGTGACATCAACAATCCTAACTTTGGGGGGGGGGGGTCCTCAAAAAGGGTGGGGTATAAATAAAACAACAACAACAACAACAATAATAATAGTTTCCAAATGCCGGCTGAGATCTTTTGACATGGCATCCAGTGTGCTGGTTACCACTGGGACCACCTGTACTGGTTTATGCCAGAGCCTTTGCAGTTCAATTTTGAGGTCTTGATAAGAGCTGAGTTTTTGTATTATTATTATTATTATTATTAATATTATTAATATTTAAAATGATAAAAATTAGATTAAAAGCACACCAACCAAGTTAACAAGTCCAAACATTTGACTTCGCACTTTATCCAGGAGCCGTATCCTCACAATTGATTTGAACTATTTGCACTATTCCATTGTCTACTCGTGCCCAGAAATTGATTATTATTGCAGGTTTATTGGTCGTTGGTTCAATGGTTGCTTTCATATTATGTTATAATGTTGTTGTTTTATTTTGTTTTATGCTGCTGTTTATGCAGTTTACATTTTGTATTTTAGTATCGTATATTTTAAATATGTTGATTGGGCTTGGTCCCCATGTAAGCCACCCCGAGACCCTCCAGGGAGATGGAGGAAGGGTACAAAAATAAAATTATTAAACAGCTTAAGAACAGAATCAGATAAAAACTGTGTCCATTTTGAAACAACTCCACCAGGTCCTAAATGATTTAATAAAAGACCATGTGATGGTACCAATGCTGGTGCCAACTGAGCCTCTGTGCACAAGGCATTTCACAAACTAAGAGCCACAACAACAACAAAAAGCCACAATTTGATCAATTCTAGACTAGGTCAACTCTGAAACTACTACAGTGATTGGTTCTGGACAATGTATGGTCTATTTCCCCATCAGTTTAACCATATTGATGTATTGTGGGCTCGGCCTCATGTAAGCTGCACCGAGTCCCTTGTGGAGATGGTAGCGGGGTATAAATAAATTATTATTATTATTATTATTATATTAATGAACAGGTGTCAGAAAACATGAGAAATACAAAATGCTACATACAGCTTTCCAGCTCCAGAGTACAGGTCTGTGTATCTAATGGGAATCGGCTGAAGTCCATATTGCACATTGCTGTCACTGTGATTCTGGAAAATCCATGAAAGAAAAGTCAGCTTGACTATATAGAAATCTGTGATGAACTAACAAGACAGAGAAAAAGTACAAACACATAAACGTGTACTCCTCTACTTGGATTTACTGTAAGTTTGAACTGATTAAATTGGTTGATGAAAGGCAGTCACATGTCACATTGTGTGTGAGCCACTAAGAAACACTTATCTTCCCAATTTTTCAACTTTAACCATAGATATAACACTCACAGAAAGGCAGGCTGCTTAATTTTAAGCCTCTTTGAAGATTCAGGAGTTTAGTTTCTTTTTCACTTTACTAAGTCAAAACAGACAAGGATTTTATTAACACAAAACTTTTCCTGGGATTTAAGGGCTGGGAGAGATTTCCCAGTATTGTGACAGAACTAGGTACAGACAGCTTAAAAACATAATAAACTGTTTTCCATCATAGTTTATTAATAAACTGTTTTTCACCACTATCACTCCAAATTCAGCTTTTAAGAAGCATATGCCGTATTTCATCATGTAATAGTCGCATGTGCCCTGTTTTAGCTGGAAAAGGGGGGGGGGGTGCAACTATTACACAATAAAAAACCATGCCTTTCTGCAGCTTTGTTTCCACGCTGTTCATAATAGCAGTCACTTTCAGCTTGAAGCCTGCTGAATTGCATATAAAATTATCCTCATTCAGGATCAGAATGAAATTCTTTGCACAGCAATGTTCTGCTGGCAGACAATCTGCTTGCAGTGTAGCCAGTGTGGGAAGACAGTTTAGCACAGGAAGGACTCCCAGCTTCCCTCTTCATGTGACTTGCTCCACTGTACAAATGACAGCTTTGCCAGTGCACCCATTCCCCTTGTAGCTATGACCCTTCACTTAGTTGAGTCTGGAAGCACTGGGATGAAGAGAGTGACAATAATGACTTCTAAACTCAGCCTAATGGAATACCATACCTGGAAAGGGAGTGGTGCAATTTACTACTTGAAATAAGCAGCAGTAAGTTGTTGCTTACTTTTAATGAGGAACTGTGATCAAGTAGCCACAACAAAACTGTGCAGGAACCAAGCTGGACAACCAATTTGCACTGTATTGGTTATGAAATTACCTCATGCTGTAGAGCACATGGCCATCTGGAAATACCCGCAACATGATGTTGTCAGTAGTTGTGTCGTGAATAAACGATCGTTTAGAGTGAACAAAAAACACATCCGGCACCCAAATCTTCTTCACCAACCTCCCATCAAAAGTCATGCTCTTGTTCGTATGACTGGGAAAGGAAAGGCGCTCATCCTTCCAGTAATGCCTCAGATACAGTGTCATTGTAAAATCCTATGTTAGGAGAGAAGAAAACAAATATATTATATCCCTCATCTAGGAAGAACTTATAATACAGAATAAGATTGATGAACATACCTAAATACAACACATAATATATTGAGTGATGTATCTGTTTCATAGAATCCTAGGATCTCATCACATTTCTGAAACAGTTTGAGAATGTATTGTCAAAGGCTTTCATGGCTGGAAGCACCGGGTTGTTGTAAGCCTTTCAGGCTATATGGCCATGTTCTAGAAGCATTCTCTGCTGATGTTTCGCCTGTATCTATGGCAAACATCCTCAGAGGTTGTGAGACCTCACCATAGATGCAGGCAAAATGTCAGGAGAGAATGCTTCTAGAACATGGCCATATAGGCCGAAAGGCCTACAACAACCCATTTCGAGAATGATTTCGAACGGGTCCTATCATGTGACATTGCCCCCATCCTGTCAAAACATTGCAGAAATGGAGTATTTGTACATGGGATTCTAATAGCAGTGTTTGAAATACTATGGAGCTTTCCATCATGGAAGCGTTGTTGTTGTTGTTGTTGTTGTTGTTGTTGTTGTTGTTGTTGTTGTTTGTGTGTGTGTGTGTGTGTTTGGGAAATTCCATCAACTATGATAACTTGAAATGTGGAGGCGTGCCTGAGGATTGACTCTCCTGATCCTAGACTGTTCATGATGGAAGCAACCACCATTTCTGTTTGGGACGTCAAAAGAGAAAGATCTCTGGGTTTAAGGAAATTGGGAGTTTCCACTTTACTGGAAGCAGTACCTGCAGCAACAGTAGATGCAGCAAAGGAGCCATATCTAATGAATCAAAAATCTATCGTTTCGAAATCTAATAAGATTAGGTTTCTCAGAACTCTTTATTAGATTTCTCAGAACTCCACACTTTGCACCAAGAGGTAAATGCATTTACTGTGCAGATGCAATAATATTTTCAAATCTCACAACAGCGGTAGTTCAAGACTTTGAGGCTACTTCACTGCACAATTTTTGAATTATTAATTTTTAAAGTCACGTAGGGAGTCTCCCAAACAAACTGAAAGGAGCTAGCCTTCCATGGTGGGACGAGTCAAAGTGGAGTATTTTCTGAAAGTAACAATCATAGTATTTGGGTGTGATGTGGTCAGTATGCATCCCGTCTGAAAACAGTACGCAATCAGTCAGAAAAGGTAACAGGATACATACTGAGATACACGGATTATATCCCAATGTGATTCTGGCCATGAAAGCCTTTGACAATTTTATGTTTTATGTTTGGAAGCCACCCTGAGTCCCTTTGTGATATAAAATTTGTGGGGTTTTTTTGCTTTTTAAGTGTCTTCTGCTGTGTTTTTCAGAGTTTTTATGAGTGATGATCACTTGTTGGCCTGATAAGTGGGTTGTGTCCAAATTTGGTGTCAATTCGCCCAGTGGTTTTTGAGTTATGTTAATCCCACAAATGAACATTACATTTTTATTTATATAGATGATGATGATGATGATGATGATGATGATGATGATGATGATGATTGTTATTTGAAGCACAACAAGAAGAGTCCACAGCAGACAAGATCACTCTGCTGGCTGTTGTACTGGATCACTCGTCCGACACTTCCCAAGTGTCTAGGACTGTGTGATGTATTAGCGAATAATGTGTGCAGATCCCAGTAAGGTGGCCTTCTGCAGCCGGCAGATGGTAATTTTGTCAGTGCCAATTGTGTTTAAGTGCAGGCCAAGGTCTTTAGGCACTGCACCCAGTGTGCCGATCACCACCACTGGGACCACCTTATTATTATTATTATTATTATTATTATTATTATTATTATTATTATCACAACAACTAAGAAATCAAAACATAAATGAAAGTAGCATACCATATCAACCTCCGAAATACTATCCAGGCTTTCAACTTGCACATCTACCCCAACTGGAATGGCAGGACCTGTAGAAGAACAAAAATAAAAGTATTAAAGTCTGTCATAAGGCCCACATTTTTCATTAATGCTAGGAAAACCCCTAGGCTGCATTTGGGATCTGCAGTGGTTCTTTCAACTGCCATGCTCGGTAGACTTGACATCACGGTCTTGTTTATGCTGAAGTACAACCGAATGATGTATAAAGACTGAAGTACATGTTTTTACTGGAACATTTAATGGCAAGAATTAACTTGGGCAGTTATGAATGTGTAACTCACAGCCCAACACTCCAATTCCCACTCACAGGGTAGCAGCTGCTGCAATCAACAGCAGTCTGTTCCTCTTGTCAATTGGGACGCAGCTGATTGATGGCCTCGCCCTCTCCTGTGAGCAATCTTGATTGCTACAGCCAAAAGCTGGAACCCTATTGCAATTTCCACCTATGCCCATGATTATTTGTGTGAGTAGAGGTGGGTATGTCTGTCAGCAGCTTCCTGATTAACAGGGGAGCAAACCCCCATCAATCGCAGTGACTACTACCTGGTAGATGAGGATTTGGAGATTTTCACAATCCCTATATATCCCCTAAACGAGGAAATACATAGGGCTTATGAATGTGAAACAACCACAAATGTCCAACACCAGGTTACACTTTTGCAGCTGATTTAGGGGATTCCAGTCATTGTAGTTACTAGGCTGAATATGTAGCACTTAGTTTATACACAAACCTAGAGCGAAATATAAGCTAAACACAAAGCTATCCTTCCCTAAACTCTTGTGTGGGTGTTTTTAGAGGTTGCCCTGGCCACAGACCATACTGTTGAATTAAGCATCTGGTGATGAGTCACAGAAAGATGTCAAGAGATTTTTGATCTCGCTAATCCTCATGGTCATTAGGAAGCTGCTAGATTTTTAATCCCGCCCCTCCCTCCAAATGAACTATGTAGCCATGGAAAGGGACAAGGGAGGGAGAAGGAAGAGCTTGCTCCAGATGGTTTGTCAAATTCCTGCCCAGCTAACACCACAGAAGAGCAAACAAAACTTCAAAAACACAGGAAATAAAAGGTGGAAATGTGATGCGAAATGAATAGCTGTGGAAGTATCTATATTCTAGGGCACAGTGTTTCCAAAACACTTCTGATATGGATCTCATTGGAATAAAAAAACAGATGGATCTCTATACATCAGCAATCTGCTGTGGTGGAGTTTATCACTAGAGAGTTTATCACTACCATTTCTCCTTCTTTTTTTACTTTATTTCTTCTCCTCTAAAATTAGGATCCCTGTTAGTCACAGTGACTTTTTCCCAATAAGGGGGACTGCAACAGGATTCACCATGTAACACCACAAATGCATTTATGCATAAGTAAATTCAACCAAATATTTTTGATATTTTAATGTAATTTTTATTGTCACAGTTTTATAATTTTACTAGCTGTTCCCTGCCATGCGTTGCTGTGGCCCAGTTTGGTGATTTGGAAAATAAAGTTATGATAAACATAGGCTGGATGGCCATCTGTCAGGGGTGCTTTGAATGCAATATTCCTGCTTCTTGACAGGGGGTTGGACTGGATGGCCCTCTTCCAACTCTATGATTCTATGATTCTATGATAAACTGTTGGTTTCTAATATATGTAATTTCTTTAAGCTTGTGGGTAAACACCCTGTTGGAGTAGAGAAGGGCGGGGTACAAATATGGCAAATAAATAAATAATAAACAGTATTTCTTGTTTCTTTGTCAGTGTTGATGTATAGATTGTCTGGTTTGCCTACTCTGGAAGATGTAACATATCATTGTCCTTCTGTAGGGTTCCCTTTCAAATCTACGATGCTATATCTGTCATGTGTGTGTGTGTGTGTGTGTGTATGTGTGTGTGTGTGTGTGTGAGAGAGAGAATAATATCTATCTATCTATATCTATGGCTGGATGGCTCTCTGTTAGGAGAGCTTTGATTATTTTTTTTGATGTTTTTTTTTGTAAGATATTTTTATTATATTATACACACAGATCAGTAAGCCAAATTCCAAGTGTTACACATATAAAACCTGAATAATTCAACATATATTAAAGATATTATACTAATTTACACTGGTGTATATTACCTTATCTCCACCTTCCCTCCCTCTCCCTCCCTCCCACCCTCCCTCCCTCTTCAACCACAGTATATTTCTAGCTAATCTTGCAGATCCAGCCACTGGTAGAGTCTTTGTGTTTTTTCTTTGATGTGATCGTTGGCTCCTCCATTTTTCACCCAGTTGAAGTAGACCTTCCATCTATTTGTAATGATCTTTTCTTTGTCCATTCTTGGTGTTTGCTTGGTCATAATTCCCGTAATGTCTAATAGCACTTGGTCGTACATATAATCATTCCAATTAGTTAACGTCCATTTCGATTTGTCTTTCCATCCTCTGGCAATCACTGCATGGGCTGCTCTTATTGTTACCTTAAATAACTCCTGGCAATTAATTATTATACTCGGATGATCCAACACTCCCCAAAGTAGCAAATCATTATTAATTTGAATTCTTATCTGGAATATCTCCTGAATTTTTACTTGTATGACTTGCCAGAATTTTTTTATTTCAGTACACTCCCACCACATGTGTGAATAAGTACCTTTTTCTTTATTACAATGCCAACACTTCGAATTCTTTCCTTTTATCATATAAGCCAATTGTTCAGGAGTTCTATACCATCTTAATATCATCTTTTTTTCTAATTCATTATATTTTTCTATTTTTATTTTATTCATGTTCCTAATTATTTCTTCTATTTCTCTTGTCTGTAATGATTTAACTCCATTCCATTTATTACTTATTGCTCTAATCATAAACTCTTTATCTTCTACCATTAAATTATATATTTTTGCCACTGTTCCTTTACTTGTCTTTTCTCTTGCATTTAGCAATTTATCTACCTTTAGTTCTTCAGTGGGTTTTGCACCCTCTTTTTTTACTTTTTCCCAAATCCCTCTTAATTTTAACCAATTTTCTTCCCCCCCCCTTTTCCAAAAACTCTGGCCAATTAATTATCTCTCCATCTTGTTTCCACATATCTTGTACCCTCCTTAATCCCTTTTCTTCTAAGTTATTTGCTAACCTTTCGGGGAGTCCCATTGGAGAGCTTTGATTATGATTTCTTGCCCTGGTGAAGGGAGTTGGACTGGATGGCCTTAAGGCAGCATTTCTCAACCTGGAGTTCAGAACCCCTGGGGGGCAGGGGCGGTTAGGGTTAGGGTGTCAGAAGGGTCGCCAAAGACCAGCAGAAAACATAATATGTTCTATTTATCTTGGGAGTTCTGTGTGGGAAGTTTGGCTCAATTCTATCATTGGTGGAATTCAGAATGCTCTTTGATTGTAGGTTAACTATAAATACCAGCAACTACAACTCTATTGTTTTGAGTGGTGGTCACTCCTTGGGTTAGTAGATGTCTTGTGGCCAAATTAGTCCAGCGGTTTTTGTGATGTCACTTAAAATGAACAGAGCATATATATATATATATATATATATATAGAGAGAGAGAGAGAGAGAGAGAGAGAGAGAGAGAGAGAGTACTTTTACTAATTCACCCCCCCCCCCCCCAATCCCCAACTAAATAGAGTAAAGGTTGGATAGCCTCAGGGGTTGGCCATCTGCAAGGACGTTGCCCAGGGGACACCCGGATGTTTGATGTTTTATCATCTTTGTGGGCAGCTTCTCTCATGTTCCTGCATGGGGAGATAGAGCTGACAGAGGGAGCTCAACCCTCTTTCCGCGGATTTGAACCACTGACCTGTTGGTCAGCAGTCCTGCCATCACGAGGGTTTAACTCACTATGCCACCGGTGGCTCCAGTATTGAAGCTGGACCTCCACCAAAGATATTTCACCTACCAAACACATTTCAACTATTGGTCTGCCTCTCCCTCCACAATTACCTGTTCCCCTATTGATGGGGAAAACTTATAATTAGCGCATAATCCCATAATGTTCCAATCATTAGTTTGTGTTATGGGTCTGTTCCTCTTCTGGGTCAACAAGGTAGCAGTAAAATGACGTCTGTGGACACGTTTCTCCTTCTCTACCTTTCTCCCTCACTTTTCCCAACTGTCTGTTTTCAGTGTATTTAATACTTTAGAGGTATATTTGTCTTTTTGTTGTTGCTGTTTTTCACTGTTGGGACTAAAAATGGCTCAAAAACTGGTTTACCATTACATGCTAACACAGCCTTTATGTTTCTTATGCAATTGTGCATAAATATACTTATAGACTGAGGCTACTGGTGTTTTATGTTTGCCTTTATCATTGTTCATAAATATAGCATTTGTGTTTTGTTACAGCTACAAGATAGAGCACAAATACAAGATATTAAGATAAGCCTGTAAGGCAGCATTTCCCAACCAGGGAGTCAGGATCCCTGGGCGGTCGCAAGGGAGTGTCAGAGGGGTTGCCAAAGGCCATAAAAAACACAATATTTTCAGTTGGACAATCATTAGCAATGAGAATGATTTATAGGACTGAGAATTCACTGACCTGGGTTATGATTTGAACTTGTGTAATTTTAATTGGAGGTTTTTATAGGTGATATTTTAACAATTGTTTTAAATGTAAAATTTTATTATAATTATTATAATTGCCTTGCTTGGGCATCTAACAGTTACTGATTGTGAGGCTGCCCTGAGTCGTCCGTGCTCTCCCCCCCCCCCCCCTTTGGGGGGTGAGGAGGATAGCATACAATCTTTTATAACAACCTGGGAGTACCTGAAGTTTGAAGGGATTTACTTTCTTTTTGCAGCATTGTAATTCCTGTTCAGAAAGACTGTCTGATTTCATTCTAAATTTGCGTTTGCGTGCACAGCAATCTAGCTTCATTTATTCCGCATGGATGGCTGCCCTCATGGAAGAGGGCCTTGGAACAGAAATACTTTCTGGAGGTTAGGATTAAAGTTTTGTTGGCAGGGCACTGCTATACCTGCCCACTGGTTCCAGGCCACTGAGGCTAATCCTGTAATTTCGTGAGCCACATTTGCTACATTTTTATTTTCAAATTCTGATTGGATTATAAATCGCTTAAAGGGGCAAGGAATTAATAATCTGAGAGGGTGAAGTCCTGACAATTTACACAAAGAACAAACATCATCCCAGTTCTTCTGTTTGCAAACTACAAGGTATATAATGTATATTTTATGGGTAGAATATGTAATATATGAGAATATGCTCCATGTACTTTTTTCTAAATGTGACAAAGCAGTGATAGAGTATACTTTTTTAAAAGACAAAAATAGCCAGAAGAAAACAAACAATCAGCCACCAAAATCCCACTCAGTACCACAATGTCAATCCGCACAAGTACTAAATGAAATATTGAGAAATCAGAGATAGAACTGTTTCAGAACATGCAGATTGGTCTGCACAGTGCTGTTTTGAGCTGTGGGGATATTTAATTGCACTGCAGCCCCTTCGGAAGACCATCACAAAGTGGAAAGAACATGGATAAAGAAACACTACCTTATATACTTGTGCATAAGTCTAGACATTTTTTATGGAAAAAATAAGTCCAAAAAAAAAAACTATCCTGACTTATCCATGACCAATGTGAGTAATATACCTCAACCCTTTCAAAAAAGGAACTATCCCATCCTCTGAGTAGAGTGGTAAACGGTAAGAATTATTTTGGCCCAGGCCCCTTCTACACTGTCCTTATATCCCAGGATCTGATTTCAGGTTATCTGATTTGAACTGGATCATATGAGTCTCCATTGCTTTATAATCTGGGATAATAAAATAATCTGGGAATCAGATTCTGGGATATAAGGACAGTATAGAAGAGGCCGCAGAAGAACCTAAAAGAAGCACCAACTCACCCTACTATCGATAAGTCATTCCCATCTTTCCAGAATGACTTATATACAGATCACGCCAAAATTCATACTTTGTGACCCAAAATGTGCCCTCAACTTACACATGAGGTTGACTTATACATTAGTATATTCAGTATTGTTTTTACCTGAGAAAACACCTCTCTCTATGAGCCTCTAGGTCAGTGTTTTTCAACCTGGGGGTCAGGACCCCTTGGGGGTTACAAGGGAGTGTTATAGAGGTCACCAAAGACTATCAGAAAACACAATATTTTCTGTGGGTCATGGGGGTTCTGTATGGGAAGTTTGGCCCAATTCTATCACTGGTGGGGTTCAGAATGATCTTTGTAGGTGATCAATCCCACCAACTACGACTCCCAAATGTCAAGCTCTATTTTCCCCAAACTCTACCTGGGTTCAAATTTGGGCATATTGAGTATTTGTGCCAAGTTTGGTCCAGATCCATCATCATTTGAGTCCACAGTGCTCTCTGGATGTAGGTGAACTACAACTCCAAAACTCAAGGTCAATGCCTGCCAAACCCTTCCAATATTTTCTGTTGGTCATGGAAGTTCTGTGTGCCAAGTTTGGCCCAATTCCATCATTGATGGAGTTCAGAATGCTCTTTGATTGTAAGTGAACTGTAAATCCCAGCAGCTACAACTCCCAAATGACAAAGTCAATTCCCCGCCCCCCCCCCAACCCCATCAGTATTCAAATTAGGGTGTCTCGGGTATTTGTGCCAAAATTGGTCCAGTGAATGAAAATGCATCCTGCATATCAGATATTTACATTACAATTCATAACAGTAGCAAAATTACAGTTATGAAGTAGCAACAAAAATAATTTTATGGTTGGGGTCACCACAACATCAGCAACTGTATTGATGGATCGCGGCATTAGGAAGGTTGAGAACCACTGCTCTAGGTTCCTCCAGGTTGCAAGATGACCACTGAGTCCCCCTGGAGAACCTAGAAATTCCTGGATATAACGTATTAATCAAATCTGTGAATAATCAAATTCACAAAAAATGACCTTGCAAATGGGTTGACTACATTCAAGAATTGAGACACCATGACTTCCTGAACTACTTCTGTACCTTTTCTCCTGAAGACTGCAACCGCACGTGGCTCAAGTAATTGTTTCTCCATTTTTTTCCTACTAGGCAGCTTGCACACCAGCAAAACTTGACATATCCAAAAGAAAGGAGGACCTCCAAAAGCTTTAGAAATATCCAGTAATGTTCACGAAGCAGATGTGCACAGGAAAAAGTCATCTTCATTTTGACTTATTATTCTAGTCTTTATTTAATTCATGGTCCACTTTTCTCCTTCTAGAGCAGTGTTTCTCAACCTGTGGGCCCCCAGGTGTTTTGGCCTACAACTCCCAGAAATACCAGCCAGTTTATCAGCTGTTAGGATTTCTGGCAGCTAAAGGCCAAAACATCTGGGGACCTACCGGTTGAGGAACACTGCTCTAGAGGATGAAGATAGATCGTCAGTCTTGTGACTGAAGTGGCCTTATTTGTTCCTTCATTTCCAACATATGTGTCTGAATCTCATCCAGCACAAACGGGCTGGAACTAAATGGGGAGGTGGGGGAGAGAAACAAATTGTATCACAGGAAGCATTAGGCTGTTCTTCGATGGAAAAGATACTGCTATTTTGAGTATCAGCTAAAGCTGCTTATTCATGGACTCAGGGGGTGGAGGGAGATGTCCTAGATGAAATGTTCACAGCGAGGGTTTGAGGAAGGGAACCCAAGCCCAACTGAAACATTTACATAATCTTCAAATATTAATATCTGTAGTAAATAATACCTGAACATCTGCTAGCTTTCGCAATGTCATTGGCACAGAGATAACTCTGAAAGGGTCAAAGCATATGTGCTCTGATATTAGGACAGGGAAATGCTCCAACGCATGCAACATGGAAGTCGAGTGCATGAGAAGTTCTTAGAAGGGCTAGATAACTGTCCTTGGAAAAATTCCCAGAATGCCATAGCAAGGCTGTCTATGGGAAGTGTAGTCCAAAGAGTAACTTTTGCAAGAACTACATACATCTTCAGATCTTGTTGGAATAGACCAGAATGAGACAACAAGCAAACTGGAACAGGCAAGGTTATTTTAACTAAGATGTCCCAAGGTAAGTGAACATGTAGCCTGCTCATTGCACAACAAAGCAATGATTTCCTCTGCAAGTATGCCTGCAGTTAAATTAAGCATACCTCAGTCAAACTATACCTGCTGTGACATATTTGCTTAGTATATAATATAATAATGCTAATATATAATATAATATATTGTATATACGTATATTTATATTATGATGTAATACAGTATAATACTACTAATAATAATAGTATGATATTATAGTTATATATTTTATATTACATGTAATATTACTAATAATATTACAATATAATTGTATAGCACAATATAGTGATGTATAGCACTGATATTGTACTGTGGTATAATGTATTTTGTGTGTGTGTGTGTGTGTGTGTGTATCTCTTGTAAGCTGCTCTGAGTCCCCTTCGGGGTGAGAAGGGCGGCATATAAATGTCGCAAATAAATAAATAAATAAATAGTAACTGGCATAATTCTACCACTTTAAATAATTAACACAGCTGGTAAATCGCCAGCAACTATAAGATCTGTCAATCAAAAGGTTGCAAGTTCGAAGCCCCGGGTCAGTGTGAACTGCCAACTGTCAGCACTGCTCACTGTTTACCTAAGCAGTCAAAAAGAGCTTTAGCTGTAATTAGAGCAGGAAGGAAGGGAAGAAGAGGTGGTAATGGGATATAGACACATGTGAAACTTCTACAGTTAGCCCTCCACATTCATGGGTTTTACATTCGCATTTTTGATTATTCACAATCTTGTACCTGCTCCTTAACTAGCTCTATCTATTCCCTCCCAACTGCTTCTCCCTACCTTTTTTCTTGTCAAGAGCACCACCCATACCTGGCCGTGTGCACGTTAACACAACAGCCTCAGCAAAAATGGGGCTGCCCTAGAAACATCCACACCATAGCCTTGTCCTCAGGAGATGCCAAAGGGGAACAATCAGTGCCGTAGCGCCTACTTCAAGAAGTAGGGGCGGCTCTGTCTTCAGGAGGTGGGCACCTGGGTGGCAACAATGACTGCCCTTCACCTCCTGAAGACAGGGCTGCTATGTGAATGTTCATAGGGCAGCCTCATTTTTGCAGGGCATATGCTGGTGTTACGGACTCTGGGGTTTGAAATTTGTTGAACATGTACATATTCAACCTCATCAGACAGGCTACTTTGCCTGTTGTACACTGCTTGTTCTCCCCTTTTGAGACAGAGCCCATTACACAATGCATGTGTACTAGGCATGGTTAGGTTCGGTTGAAATCTTCATAATTTGGAATAAATTCAGAAAGATTTGCCTTTTGAAGCAATTTCGAAGTTTTTAAGGAAACCGGAAGTCCCTTTGCCCTTCCGAAGCTTTTTCCGCCATTTCTGTTACGAAGCAGTAAAAGAGCTGGAAATGGTCCCTGGTCCCTGGCCTCGGCTCAAGCCTGGGAAGACGTTTTAAACCAGAGTGGATGAATTCCCTCCCTCTCCTCTCCCCTCGCTTCTGTCTCGAGCCTGGGAAGAGTTTTAAATCAAAGTAAATGAATTTTCTCCCTCTCCTCTCCCCTCTAAGATGGTATTCTGAAGGATTTAGCCCCAAAAGATGAAGAACACGCTTCTTACCTCCAAAGGCAGGCCTCATGGTAAAATCATGGTCATCTACCCTCAGAAGCTGCTCACTTTTTCCTGTCCGAGATTTGGTCATGTCATGGTTCTTTTTATATATTTGACTAAAATGGAAAATGAGAGTAGTCTGTCACTTCCAGCCTTTATGCAGAAACAAATTGTAAAAGAAACAAATCATAAAAAAATAAAAGGTATTATACAGTGATCCTGTCATGCAATTACCATGCATCCAGGCGTCTATATGAACAGGTTCTCTCCTCTGCCTGAAGAAAAAATTAAGGCAGAACCCACGATATTGTCAAAACAGGCAATGTCTAATGTTTTAAGAAAAGAAGTGGAGAGACTCTGTTCAGAATGATTAAAGAATAACATAGAGTTCAAAATACAGTAATCATCTATACTGCTCACTCACATTTAATCATATCACTAAAAATCTAGAGAGTTAAAAATAACCAATGGTAATTAGTAGGAAATATCCCAGGATGTAATGAGAAGCCTCTTATAGCATATAATATCTCCTTCACACCACTCAGGGGTGCCTTGATTTTGTATATCATAAGACGGTTGATTGGATGGACCCTGGGGTTGTTTTTAGTACTACTACTACTACTATTACAAAGGCGGGATGGCCTTGAGGATGCTTTGATTGTGTTTTTTCTGCCTAGCAGAAGAGGGTTGGACTGAATGGCGCTTGGTGTCTTCCACTGAAATATTGTTAAGTTTATGTTGGTTAAAATTGTTCTTCATTTAAAATATTGTATTATCTTTTTTTTTCTTTTGCACTACAAGCAAGATATGTGCAGTGTGGCATAGGAATTTGTTCATTTATTTCAGTTAGTTCACACAAATGCTCTCTATCCATCAAAAGTTTGCCCATGCCCATCAAAAGTTTGCCCATATATATTACAAACATTCCTTGGGGTTTCACAAACAAACTTTTGCTTCAAAAAGGGCTCTGTGACTAAAATGTTTGAGAACCCTGGTCTATAGCTGATCCCACAACAAGCCAAACAAACAGTGTCTACCTTCAGAATCCTTTACTAAGTCTGCATGAACAGGGCCGTAGCCAGAAAAAAATTTCGGGGAGAGCTGACAATTTCGGGGAGGGGATTGAAAATTGGGGGGGTTGAAAATTTCGGGGAGGGTTGAAAATTTTGGGGGGGGGGTTGAAACCTGCCTCCTAGCTCACGCTGAAGCAAAGAGCACAGCAGGGGGCAGAGCAGCCTTCAATAGCCTGCAGCTCCGCCCCTGTCAACCACCTCCACCAAGTCTGGCCTCCTTAATGAGGGCATTCAACACACACACACCCAACTTGGTTGCTTCACTACATCGGCTATTGCTGCAAGTAATGACAGTGTGAATAAATTGTCAATATTTGCTTGAGATAGTGCTTACAGTTCTGGAGGGACTCTTAATTTTTTGCATCTCATAGACTTAGCATGGGGATTTGGTTAACCAGTTAAAATTCATGAGTAAACCAGGTTTTTTAAAAAAATCTGAAACATTTCGGGGGGTTTGAACCCCTAAAACCACCCCCTCGCTACAGGCCTGTGCATGAACAACAAAATAGAGAAAAGGAGAAAACAGTTAAGCCACCTCTTATTATTATTATTTTTTAAAAAGCAATATAAATCTAGAACTTTGGTAACCATAATGGAGGTCATAAGAAAGGTGGAGATAACCTTTGAGGGGGGCATTTTTTGAGATCCACACAACTATTAAAAAGTTCTGGTGTCATTGCCCTGCCATAATGAAAGAAACGATCATCTGGGTCTAACAGAGTCAGTGAGGCATATTTCCATGATTCACTGGTCCAATCTTGCATTCTCGGCATAGGGTTAGCCAAAGATTACCTATGGTGAAGAACAAGATGATGACACCTCATTCCACGTATGAAAGCTGACTGATTGGACAGGCACTTAATTCTTTTTTCAGCCATAATATTGGGGATATCTGAATGCAGCAAGCGAGTAGAAACTGGAAAAGACACTTAGCACACAGCTCTGTCTTAAAACACCTTGTAGACTCTTCCTACCACCTGCTGCCTGAGATGACTACCTCTGCCTGCCTAATGGTAAGCTAGTGGGGCCTTTGTGTCAGGGATATTTTTGCTTAATTACTCCACTACATGTTGTTGGAATTGCCCACTCTTAATGCAGAGGTATTGCAAAATTATTCACCATGAGAAAAGGCAGCTACAGAATTGTCTTTGTGGATCAGCACAACTTCTGTTTATGTTTCTCCAATTAGTTTTTGGAAATTTAGTTTTAAAAGTAATTACCCGCACCATATGGAAGGACCTCTTCACACTTAACTCCCAGTTGCTCCATTTTGCAGGACCCCGCGCATCCTCCTTCCTTCCCCCATCACATGTCAGGGATGGGACAAGGCATGTTGTCACCCTGTCCTTGTCCTCATCACATTGCCCTTTACCCATCAGATGAGAAAAAGGAGAGAGAAATGCAGGTATCGCCTAACATTTTAAAGTATCTACAGGAGGCGTTGAAGCTATTGCGCTAAGAGACTTTGATGGCATCCCCATAAGAAAATATATCATGCACATTGGCTCTGTAGTTAAAAAAAAAGGTGGTGTCTCCAGCTGAAGAGAAACGTGAATCGTGGTTTGAATGGCTTCTAGTCATGTTCTGTAGGTTTGTTCCTAAGCTGAATTTGTATGTAACTTGGAACAGGTACATTTTTAAGTATAGCTCAGCCACAAACACACACACACACACACACACTTAATTTATACCTCGCCTTTCTCACCCCCGTGGTGGGACTTGAGGCGGCTTACAACTCCGGCAAGATTCAATGCAAGATCTCACAACCTCTGAGGATGCCGGCCACAGATGCAGGTGAAATGTCAGAAGGGAATGCTTCTAGAAAATGACCATACAGCCTGAAAAACCTACAACAACCCAGATTCAATGCTGTTTAAAACATAACCATAAAACATATCCCATCAACTAAAACAATTAAAAGAGTCAGCTTTGGATAGCACGGGGAAGGGTTAACACCCTGTGGTGTTTGCTTTGCTATCCGTGCCCCTGAACAGAAGATTTCACCTCCTTTTTTGTCCCTGGGATAATTGGATTTTGATAAATTTGCCTTGCTGTGGAAATAGGGATTGGTGAGAAAGCTTCAAGGGAGACACCTTTTCCCCATGATAACTCTTTCAGAAGTTAATTACCCTTCTGAGGGGTAGATTTCTCTCACTTCCTGTTGTTTCACCCCTGTTCTTAACCAGAAGTCATTTGTAAGTCACATGTTTGCAACTTGGGGACTGCCTGTCCTTGTAGTATCAGAGACAGGCTGCCTCTGAATGCCAGCTACTGTGGGACAACAGTGGGAGGATGTTATTGCTTTCATGTCTTGCTTGTGGGCCTCCTAGAAGTATCTGGCATCAGGGAGCAAAGGGAAGGAAGAATCATATAGCTGTCCAGATGTTGTTGGATGCAGGTCCCAGCAACCTGGTCATTATAGTTAAGGGAGGAGTTATAATGCAACATCTGGAGGCCTGCATAGTTCCCAACCTTCCCTTAAAAGGTTGCAGCTGATCCTGAAAGTCAATGCAAAGATTAAAGAAGTTGGGTGACAATAATTATATTGATAGAGCAGAACTTTTCTGATCAAAGAAAGGGAATGGATATGGAAAGAAACATTTTAATCAAATAAAGGAAAAGCTGAAAGAGCATACAAATGGAGTATTCTTAGCTGAAGATGGGCTTGAGAAGTGCAGACTCTGTAGGCAGAATTAGGATTTGTATTTAAAATATCATGGCAGCCTCCCAATCACAAAAGGCCATAATATGTTTCATTTGATTTTCTCTCTAAGCCTGTTGTTTGAAAAATGTAAATGGACCAGTAATAATTGCTCTCAGTGCTCCAGAATTGCGTCTTTCTCGGTTTCCATGGTTCCGAAGCACATTTATAAAAGGTCAAAATATACCCCATACATGTACATGGAAATGCTATTTTTGTCAACTTGGTGCTCTAAATTAGTACTTAGTTTTGAAGCAACTCATGCAACTGGCTTGATTTGGTAGCAGACTATTACGCATTGTCTTTGGCCATTTTTAGTATGTATGAGTATGTGCCTTCAGTCGCCTGTCAATTTATGGTGAGCCCATGAATTTGGGAAGGTTTTCTTAGACAAGGAATACTTAAAGAGTTTGTTTCAGCAGTTCTTTCCTTGGAAATATAGCCTACAGCATGCGGTCTTCATTGATGGTCTCCCATCCAAGTACCAAACAGAACTAATTATTTAGCTTCTGAGATCATACAAGATTCAGTGGCTTTGGGGTATTTTGGTCTACCAAATTATGAATAATTATGCCTGTTTAAAAAATTTCTAAATTCTTCCCTTCATTTACATGTGCTTTGGAAAATGCATTGTGTTAGATTGGGGGGGGGGGGGGACACCAACTGGGAGATTTTACATGTAAAGAAATAATCATTTGTAGTGAAGGATTCCAAAAATTGTTGTGATATCTATAGTTATATATATTTGTGGCTTTCTTTTGTTTTCTTTTTTTGCACCCCAATGCAAGAGGATGTTACTCACAGCATAAAACAAGTATTACCCTTTACATCCGACAAACCTTGGAAGCCAGAAAAGGGAGGCATTACGAAGCCTTCTGCAGTGTGGAATAATATCATTATTTGCTGGGGCAGGGAGCATTAATCGATTAACAGCTTGATGGCAGATTAAAAACAGAGCTCCAATTAATCAAGGCCTGCCATCTGGGCATTTCCAATGCCACTTACAAGGCCATGGCTGGCTCTCCAAATTGCCCAACTCCTCTGACTGCAAGGCATCCCTTCCCACCTCAGAGAAGGAACCTTTGGGCATGCTCAAATTTAGGAGAATAGCCTCATGGCTAATTTCAAAGAACAGTCTTGTTTGTTTGAGTCATTTCTTTGAAGGGTTCACAATACTAGGGTTCTTGTGTTGTTTCTTTTAGAATAGATAGAAGAAAATATTATATTTAGACTAAGATCTTATGAAAATTTTAGTCATAGACAGATTGGCACGGTCATTCTCTAGCCAGGACTTCTTAAAGCGTTTCTTCAAAGAAATATAAAGATATAGGTATACATAATT